TTGTGCCCAGCAGTGTCCTACAAAGTCGTGGATTGAGTGACCAATTTTGTTTAATTTAATCACACATAATGGTGGAAGATTCTTCAATTTGGAAGAACTTGGGAAGCCAGTTCTTTTTCAGCACTATTTTAAACCTCTGTAACCACACGTTTGGTCATCCCCACCCAAAAAGCACTGTATAAATGTAAATTGTATTAAAAGTCCTGCCTCTCTATTAGCGCAGCAAAGTTTGTGTATGCACGAGTGCCTTTTATCTGCCATTTTACAGTTTTACATTTACCTACTTAGCTCAGTTCGCTGTGTCTGGCAAATACGGAAATGATTTGATCTGGGACTCAGCTTGACGCAATCACCCCATGAGCTGCATAGTCATTGTCATTCCCCGTCTGGGAGTGAACACGAAAGAAACTCCCCACTGTCACCCTTTTGTTCCTGAAATCGCTTCAATTGAGCAGCTGATGGATGCGGTTGTGACAGGCGCAGATTTCGCGTGAACGGTCAGTAACCACACTGTTATAATGAGCAAGAGGCCATACAGATGCAAAGTCAGTTTCAAGGCCTTTTCAACAAAGGTCATTCATAAGAGAAGGGAGTTTGTCCCCGTGTCCTGTCCAACGAATCCCCAAATAGAATTGGTCATTCACTTCATGATTGTGTGCAACATTGGCTGCCGTTACAAATGTACACCATCACTACCCTTTACAGTGCACACTGTGAAGTGAGGTGAGATATCCTCCTAACATGAAAGATGCTATATCAGTTATTATAATAATAATCGTTACATTTGATATAACGCCTTACCACATCTTCGAGACCTCTCAAATGCTTCACAGAATATACTGTAAAAGTGATTTGACTTCATACTTTGTGGGCAAAAGCAGCAGCCAATTGCACACAGCAGTGTCCAACAAACAGTTGTGGATTAGCTGACAAAACTATAATTTTTTAAAAAAAAATTTGAAGGGATTATTATCCGGGAAAGCAATCCACTAATCGACTAACAGTAATCCTTAAAAAAATAATAAAACTGGTCACTTCAATCCACGACTGTTTGTGGGTCACTGCTGTGCACAATTGGCTGCCGCATTTCGCCCACAAATATACAGTTAATTCATTTTACAGACTATTCTGTGAAGTGCTTTGAGACATCTAGAAGACGTGAAAAAGCATTATATCAAATCCAAGGATTATTATTATTATTAACAACCGGGTTCCTACTTACTGCGAGGTAAACAGAGGTGTGTGGAGTAGGTAACTTACCTAACATATCGCTTGCAAAACAAGTGCGCTAATCAATATGCTACAGGACCCCATAATTGTAAGTATTATTAATTATTATTACATTTAAATGATCGTCTCTTAAGCTACTTAATAAAAAATAATAATCCTTATATTTGATACAGCTCCTTTCATGTCAGTAGTGCATCTCAAAGTGCTTCACAGGATTCACTGTAAAGTGTAATGACTGCATAATTTGTAATTTGATTTATTCATTGAATATTAATCCCACTTTTTCAAATCTTTCCCCACATTCCTTAAACCGTTGCCCACCGAACTGATTGAGATTAGAAATTCGACCACATGCCACACCAATCAAGGGCAGAGTCACAGACTTGACATAGACTTAGTAGAAGGTTTCTGAAGCATTTCATGTGGGATAGTATACGTGCATCACAGTTTGCATTAATGCTAGTTTGTTAAGATTGCGATTGCATAGTTACAACATAGGGAACCCGCCTGAATGTTATTTTCACATAATATACTGGATGGGGATCAACCCCAGAATGTCAGTACATTACTGTATATGTAATGAGCAAAGAGGATGTTGTACTTTTAACAACTACTTGCAGTTATTTAAAGATAATAAAGAGGGTACAAGGCAGTTGTATTGAGGCAACAACTTTTAATTTACGCGCGGGGTAGCGGCTCAGAGTGCTTGACAGTGGCAGAGCACGACTCCGAGCCGAGGGGAGGAAGGAGGTGACCGTAAGCACGGTCGAATAGGAAGGTTTTCAGGTACAACCTGAAGATTGGGAAGGTGGGGGCAAGGCAGAGGGACTGAGGGGGTGTTTCAGAGTTTCAGGGCGAAGTGACTGAAAGCGTGGCCATCATTGGTGGAACGGAGAGCACGAGGGACAAGCAGAAGGCCAGAGCCAGTCGAGCGAAAGCAGCAGGCAGTGTTTTGGGGGGTAAGCAGGTTGGAGAGATAGGGAGGTGCCCAGGCCATGACAGGATTTTGGATTAACCGGATTTTGTGGATAGTGGAACTGGGGAGACCGGCGAGCAAGGCATTTGAATAAGGTTTCGGCTGCCCCTGGACATGGGGAAAGAGATGAGAAGCATGGAAGACATTAGAGGTTACAGGCAGAGTGACTGATAGTACGTAGAGGAATTTAACTTTGTGCCAATGCAACCAACATAGCCTCCACACCACTTTTTTGCATTGAATTTTAAGACACCCGTGTGTAACACATTAACAACGATTTCCAATCTCATTAATAGATAATTTGGGGGATATTTTTAAACATTGTGATTATTTACAACATTCAGCCTATCATGTCTGTCCTGGCCCTTTTACGAGTAATCCATTCAGTCCCATTAACCTGGCCAGTCCCCACACCGCGGCAGGAATTGGATTGGCAATCAGTGGACGCTTTAATACTGTGTGCAGTTTTGGTCTCCTTATTTAAGGAAGGATGTACCCCGCGTGTAAATTAAAAGTCCTTGGAGGGGGTGCAGCGAAGATTTACTAGGTTAGTACCAGGGATGAAGGAGATGCGTTACGAGGATAGGCTGACTAATTTGGGCCTATATTCTCTAGAATATAGATTAGAGGGGATCTTATAGAAACCTATAAGATCATCAAAGGCATGATAGAGTAGATAGTGGGAGATTATTTCCCCTGGTTGGAGAAACTAAAACCAGGGGTCACAACCTTAAAATCAGAGGCCAGCCCTTTCTCACTGAGTTGAGGAAGAACTTCTTCACTCAAAGGGTGATGAATGTATAGAACTCACTACCCCAAAGGGCTGTTGACGCTCAGTCCTTGAACATATTCAAGACTGAGATAGATTTCTTATTACAAAAGGGATTAAGGGATATGAGGATAAGGCAGGGTCAGGTTATTGGCTGGAGTTAGATTAGAAGATCAGCCATGATTGAATGGTGGGGCAGGCTCGAAGGGCCAAATGGCCTACTCCTGCTCCTACATGTTGTTATGTATAAAACATCTGCAGCAGAAGTTTCAGCCAATATCAAGACTGCAAAATATAGCTCGTTTGCCCAATTTCAACAATTTGGCACATTCTGAACACTGAAATGCTCCAGATAAAGTCAATCTAGACCCAGGTGGAATTTCTCTACCGCAGTTAAGCTACAACTTTTAACTCCTAAGGAACCAATTCAACCCCAGGAGGACCCTGATTACCCCACACATCAACAGGGATATTTTGAGTCATTGAAAAAATATATATATGTACAACTTAATAATATTCCTTGTATTTGACGTAGCGACTTATCACGTCATTGTGAATTGACTGTATATTTTGTTGTTGAAACGTCAGCAGCCAATTGCGCACTGCAGTGCTCGTCAGTCGTAGATTGAGTAACCAAATTAGTATTATTTTTCTTTGAAGGGATTAATAACTCAGGAAAGTAATCCACCAATCAACTAATAACCGGCTTCCTTCTTACTGCTAGGTAAACAGAGGAGTGTGGAATAAGGAAACTTGCCTAAGTTTTGCCCTACCTGGGAATCAAACCCAGGTGCTCTTTGTTTGCGAGGCAAGTGCTCTAACCGATATGCTACAAGACTCCACGTCAGAAATATCAGAGGGAACTTTAGAGGAAAGAAAAATAATAAAACACCTTATCACGTCACTGAATGTGTAATGACTGTATTTGTAGGTGAATGTGGCAGTCAATTTGCCCACAAATGTCCCAAAACAGACATGGAATGAGTGACCAATTTTATTTTGAGATGAATTGTTGGCTAAGACACTAGGAGAAACTCCTTTCTCCTTTTCAACAGTGCCATGGGATCTTTAATGTCCACCTGAATAGACAGAAGGGACCTCAGTTCAATGCCTCAACTGAAGGACGGTACTTCTGACAATGCAGTGTTCCCCCAGCACTGCACTGGAATGGCAGCCTGTGGGCTCAAATTCCTGATGTGGGACAACTTTCTGAGCCAGGCCGACAACGATGACAACAACAACTTGCACTTTTATTACGCCCTTCACACGGGGCAGCGTCTCAGACCGTTTAATCAGCCAGATGTCAGCATCACTGAACCGTATTATAAACCGTAACAATAATGGGAGGGTGGAGGAGGGATAATGGGGAAGAGAAGGTATTGCGAATATGACAAATATCGCAAATGGGGCGCACATTTCTGGGTTTTTGTTTTATTTCTTTAAAATAATTCATACAAACGGTTACAGTCACAAACATGATTATTTCAACCAAAATATTGCTAGCCTACCACATTAACAGGAATTGATGTAGGCAAAAAAAAATGCTGCTACTTTTCAGTAGTCCGGAGAGGCTGTACGCATACCACCAATGAGATACATGTCAACTGGTGAGTAAAAGCAATAGCGCTGCTTGGTATGAAACTTGGTTCTCAAAAAAATCTCATTGCAACATTCTCCTTAGCCCCCTCCCTCCAACCCCTGCCTCTTCCCCCCCCCCCCCCCCATCCGGCCCTCCTCAAAAAAAAGGGAGAAATCATGCCAATAAAATACCATTTTTTTAAAAATGAAGAGGGTGTGTTTTATCACAAATTGATGCTTTTCTTTTTAAAAAGAAGTACAAGCATTTACAAAAGACAATGCTCTCACTGATGTGGGGCGGCGAAAACAAAATAGGTGGGAATTACTTACCATTTCATCTTTTTTTTTCCTGAGACGTTTGAAAACTGCCTCTTTTTGGGCATGAGTTTTAATGTATAAAAGAAAGATCGTTTTCTCTTCAAAAGAAAAAAAATCATTTTTTTTTAAAAAAAACGAATGCCTCGCTTGGTTTCTGTTTCACAGCTAAGCGAATAAACCCTTACGCTCTAAAACTGTACACAGACAAAGTATATTCATGATAGAATAATTAACTACTGGAACTTTTTTCTTGCTCACAGGGAACCCATATGACACAGAAACAGTTAGTCAGTCCACTGGACAGGGACAAGTTACAATATAACGGAGGAACAGATTAAACCGAATGTCTTCTTCTCGCCCACATCGCATCTGAAGTGGGACCAGTTTCTAAGCTCTCAGTTACTTCCATAGTCCATTGTTCACCAAAATTCCACAACCAGGTCTTTGCTGGACATCTCCCTCCGCTGGTGACCATCTCGGGCTGTGGCCCATCCGGCTACAATTGGTCCCCTGTGTGATCTCTGTCAGACTCCGGTTTGACTGTCTGGCCTGGGGATGGGGTGTGTGGTGGATGGGCTACTGTGGAGAGGCTGTGTGACAACTGCACAGCGCTGGGCACTATTCCTTCTACTGCTGCCGGCATTCCAGCAGGAGCCACCCCAACGACGCCTGGTGGGTATCTGGAAGAAAGCAGATTACACAATCACCTCCTTCTCTCGATCCAGCCGGGGAGCTAGTTGTTCCGAAGGGGAGGGCAACAACAACAAGTTGTATTTATATAGCGCCCTTCACGCGGAGCAGCCTCTTGGTAAACAGAGGCGAGTGGAGTAAGAAAACTTGCACAACATTTCATCCTGCCCAAGAATCAAACCCAGGTCTCTCGCTTGCGAGGTAAGTGCTGTTATCACTGAGCTACAGGACTCCACAAGATGGACTTTAAAAATGGGGCGTGAGGGTGTGAAGCGGAGAGTATCTGGGATAGGGTTCCAGAGATGGACAAAAGGGCAGTAGGCTGGCTCACTGAGGGTGGGGACATCAAGCAGCTGGTATTTGCTTAGTAGAGATGAGTGGCCGGGTAGTAGGGTAGCAGATATGTGGTTACAGATATGGTGAAAGGGTTCAATGCAAAAACAGTTAATCTACATTCAAATTAATTACTTTATAAAAGTTCTGCTCGGTTTGACATCCTGCAAAACCCATGGCTTTGTTCCCAGGCAAAACAGGATGAGTAATTAAGTCAATAGTGGTCTCCTCTGGATTCCAGCCCTGGTCCAAGACTCAACTCAATAAAACCTTGTCCTTAGGGATCAGAACCAAATAAATTGTCTTGACCACTAAATATATTGCCCACTCCATTCAAATCACTTTCGATTAAATAGAATAACAATCCTTACATTTGATGTAGCCCTTCATGTCACGAGGACATCTCAAAGTGCTTCACAGGATTTTACTGTAGACTGTGGAGTCCTGCAGCTCAGTGGTTAGAGCACTCGCTTTGCAAGTGAGAGACCTGAGTTCAATTCCAGGCAGCGCGAAACCTTGGGCAAGTTTCCTTACTGCACACGCCTAATAATAATCCCTCCAAAAACAATAATTAAATTGGTCACTTTCAATCTACGACTGTTTGTGGGATATTGCTGTGCGCAATTGGCTGCCGCGTTCGCCCACAAATATACAGTCAATTCACTTTATAGTGTGTTCTGTGAAGCACTTTGGGACGTTCTCCTGACGTGAAAAGCGCTATATCAAACGCAAGGATTATTATTATTATTATAATTTTCCAGGCAAACAAAGCAGCCAATTTGTACACAGCAGTGAACTACAAACAGCCACAAGAAGTGAATGACCAATTTAATTTGAGGAAAATGTTGGCCAGGACATGGCAGAAATTCCCTTCTCTTTTCAACTCGTGCCTTGGAATCTTTAGCCTCCACCTGAACAGGAAGATGCACTTTGGTTTAACATCTCATCTGAATGACTGGGTCTCCACCAATGCAGCACTCCACCAGCACTGCATCGAAGTGTTAGCATAGACTGTACGAGTTCCAAGTCCAAACGAGGAACTCAGATAGTCTATGGTGACGCTCCAATGGAGTACTTGAACTGAAGTACTGCATTGGAGTTGGTCAGCATAAACTATATGAACCCAACTCAGAAGCGAGAATGCTACCAACTGAGCCAATATCTCTCTCCAGTTGTGAAAAAAGGTACTATTGATGTACCTAAGATTCCTCTTCATAAAAGAAACCTTGTTCAGTGTCGAGGCAATAGTGTACACGGAAAAAAGGAGAAAACTTAAAAAGAATATTCTATTATCAGCTTTGTCATCTCAGATTCTAGTAAATAATAGGTGCCAGATTGCCACACTGTCCTTACCTATAGGCAGCGCCGTTTAGCTCTGGGTGAACAACTGTGGGGTCCATTCCAGCCCAGTGAGTCGCTGCGGTCAGGTAATCTTTGTTAACACAATTTTTCAGGCTGTCTGGAATGCGCCCTGAAGGAAAATAACATTGAATGGGTGGTTCATTAACTGGGTCATCCCACAGCCCGATGAACAAAACAAACACATCCTTGGTAACAATGGCTGAGACATTGAGCTCAATGTCCCACATATCAGCCAGGAAGTAAGTGACCAATTTTATCTGGGGGGTTGTTGTCTAGGATATCAGGAGAAACTCCCTTCTCTTTTCAAATATTGCCATGGGATCTTTAATGTCTACCTAAACAGGCAGTCAGGAGTTTGGCTTTAACCCAAAAGACAGACACTTTGCTCATTTCTCTCTACCAGCACCCTGTGTGAAACAAAAACTTCAGTATTCAGCTTGGGAGTCTATTCTTGAGTTTCTTTAAACAATAATCCAAAGGATATATCAATATAAAATGTGACACAGAATGGAATTGCTTGTGGTAAACAGTCTTTAATGTTTCATGAGTGTCTAGATGGTATTGCTTAACCTAAAAGAGAAAAATCACTATAGAAAAATTAACCGGTTCTACACATGAGAGCGAAGGGAATAGAAGGTTAAATAGTGGGTGGAGAGTCGAGTGGTATATAAACATCAGTGGGTGGAGAGTCGAGTGGTATATAAACATCAGCATGGATAAGTTGGGCCCAATTGCATGTTTCTGTGCTGTACAGTCTAGGCAAATCTATGTAACTAGCAGACGAACATAGGAGTTGCTCGGCAAAAGAACACCAAGGTCCATCCAGTTCGCCTTCCACCATCCTGGCAGTCGCTTGACATGTTGTGACCCAAACTATATATTGTATCCCAAGATTTTGTTTTCTAACAGAAACCTATCTAATTTGTTCTTGAAAGAAGATGTGAAGTAAATATGCAGTCAATAGTTTAGACAGAGAGAAAAAGCCTGGGTCAGATTGAGGACAGGCTGTACCTGTGATCGCCCTCCTGATCTCACGAGCTGCCTCTTCCCGCATTTCAATAGATGCCTGCTCACTGTACCAGGCTGCGTGTGGGGTGCAGATCAGATTCGGAGCATCTTTTAATGGACCTTGACTGAAACTGGATAATATAGGTTAATATTCTGGGTTTTAAAATCAAATTTCCATTCAATTGAAACACAAATCCACCTTTGGTAATAAAATGCCATGTATATCAGACACGTATCATTGTGTAAAATGTCATCCATGCTTTCCTCTTGGGTAATAATGGGGTCTAAATCTTGGCAATTTCAAATGGGATTTCTTAAGCAAAGGAAATTACACGGACACGCAGGTCTCCATCTGTTACGATCTACTTTCAGGGCAGACTTGTTGCAAGGCTCGGTGACGTACTTCCTGCAGACCCAAGATTGGTTTCGATGAAGACGACCCTTTGGCCCATATGATCTCATTCCTCCAGAATACCCCACCATCCCCCTGTCACAGCATCAAGCTGCTTGACCTGGCCTCAACCAGCCTTCCTAGTAATCTGTTCCAGTCGTTGATTAGCCTCCGAGAAACGAAAACCTTACTGGTGAATGTCCTTTACTCCTCTCTAAACCTGTGTCTTGTTCTACTGTCTTGTGGACTAAAGTATTATTCTGCGTTAACTTTTTCAATAAGGTTCTCTCAGGAGACATCTTCTCTCAAAAGCCCATTCTGAATTTCTCAATTAAAAATCCCATTTGAACTTGTCAACAGTTTCACATTGCTGCAGTACAACAGATGGAGATTTAAACACCTGTACTGCAACGAGAATATTTAAGGATTATAAAACAGGAGAGCAGTTTAGATTACAAACTGAGAACAAAGTACCTAAATGGCTCTGATTCGTGTACATCCAAGGCTGCCCCTCGTATCCTTCCTTCCTTCAAAGCCTGAGCCAGTGCCTTTTCATCGACAAGCCCGCCCCGGGCAGTATTCACCAGAAAGGCTCCCTGTCTCATCTACACAGGGAAACAAAGATGAACCCACATTCACATTAACCAACACCATTTAATAATATAATAATCTTTGTATTTGATAAAGCGCCATATCACGTCGTTGAGGTGGGTCCATTCATGGACTTTGTTTCCCGACATTGAATGGAAACATTTTTATACGCAGCTTAAGTCATGCAGATAGAGAGGGGTTAATGCAGGCAAGTAGTGCAGATTGGGTGCTGCTTCCATGCCTGGAGGCAGGACATCCTGTGATTACAAGCTGGCCTTATGACAAAATGCTGGCATTTTATGGATTTACCTTAGAAAGATGCTTGAAATTCCTCAGGATCTCAGCCTCAAGACCCTCGTCTTGAAATTTAAAATTGTGCAGAATTTTGGATTTTTGTTTTAAAAAATTCAGTCTTATTTTCGAAATTGTTTCGCAAGTTTCCAAATTGCAGCCAAATTCAAAAACAAATGCCAAGTTCTGCACTTTGAGTTTTAGTACAACAGTCTTAAAGCTAAGATGATGAGAATTTCAAGGATTTGGGCGTCCTACAAAATGGCCAGTTGCCGGGCTCACAGAGAGGAGCTTGGAAATGTTGTGAATTGTTGAGAGCACGTTGGGATGAGGCTAGCTTACCTGTTTGATGGTGAAATCATTAATAAGGTGGTGGTTGTGTTCGTTCAGATTGCAATGTAGGGACACACAGTCACTGTGAAAGAGGAGGTCCTGTAAGGTGCTCACTCGCTGTAACCCCAGCGCGCGCTCAATGCCATCTGATAGGTAAGGGTCGTAGAAAATCACATTAAAACCAAACGCTTTTGCACGCAATGCCAGCGCTTGACCAACCCGACCTGGTGGATAAAGAGGAAAAAAAAAATTGACCGTTGTTTGCCAGTTGAAAAGCTGCACTGTTGCGAATTTTAAAATATTACATTTTAGAAAGTGCGTGAGAGTACAACAACTTGCGTTTACATAGAGCCCTTCATGCGGGTTAGAGTCTTGTGTGCTATACAGTGGTGAGGTTGGACGCCAAGCAAGGCAGAAGGGGGAGGTAGCCATATGCACAATGGAAAAGGTAATTGTTAAGGTGGGAGTGCAACATCCAAAGGAAAATTTATTGTATTTCCTTTTTAATGCTTAAAAAAAAGTTGCATAAATGCATTAAAAGTATTGAACTCTCACATATTGACCCTGATATACTTATCCTGGACTCTGTACAAATGAGGTCTCAGGATTTGAATATATTTTGTTCTCTCGACTGCATTATTCCTGAAGATTGGTTTTGCTTGTATAGCCTAATTAATAGACTAGAATTGCTTGCTCATTTGTAATGAGTGGTTGAGTGGAAAGATATATTAAAATGCAATGATAAACAAGACCTTTCAAGCTACAACATCGTCACGTCTAAATCACTATTTCAAATGCAAGAATCATCATTGAACACAATTGCAATATTGATCAAATAAAAGGTATCATACAATGGGATGTAAATAACCAACAATAATGATCCTTGCATCCTTGCCCCCAATCATTCCACAAGAGAACTTGTGGAATGATTGGGGGCAAACCTGGCAGCCAATTTGAACATTGCAATGTCCCACAAACAGTCAACGAATGACCACTTTTATCTGCAGGACAGTTAGCCAGGACACTGGGAGAAACTCTATTCTCTTTTCAAATAGTACCACGAGATCTTTAACATCCACGTAAACAGACTGATGCGGTTTAATGTCACATCCAAAGGAACAGAAACAGAGCCCAAAAGTATAAAAACATCTCTTTTAAAGGTTGACCAGAACACTTTCCCTCAAAATGGATTGCTCATTTCTTTTCTAAATAAAATCTGGAGTCTTACCAAGGCCAATGATGCCAAGCGTCTCTCCTCGAATCCGGGCAGCTCCTGAAGCAATGTCCCGTATCTGTTCAACGCTCTGAACTCTTGTGCCTTCCCGCAAAGCTTGGTGGAGCCAGGTGGTCCGTCTGTACAGGTTCAGAATGTGGCACATTGTAGAGTCTGCTATTTCCTCCACGGATGCTGCTGGCACGTTGCATACAGCAATACCTAAAACCAGCACACACAGTTACTAAAGTCATTTCACACACACACCACACAAAGGAACATGCCTTCAAATTCCTGCATGCTCTCACCCCAACCTACTTCCACAACCTTCTTGAACTCTACCAACCCAGGCACTCCCTTCCCTCAGCAACACGGGCCCGTTTCTTGTACCCCGCCATTTTATTAAACGATGTGGAAACATGTGGAAGAATGATGATAATTGTATTAGAAGCCCTTCACTATAATCAGTACAAGTGTTTAACTGTATTTAGACATCCAGCGGATGGGTGTGTGTGACTGCCATCATTTTTATGGCAGATAATGATCCGTCACCATGTATTAAGAGACTAATACAAGAATTAGAGGCCCACAGTATTAAGGGGACAGTGGCAGTTTGGATTAAGAACTGGCTGAGTGACAGAAAGCAGAGGGTGGTAGTTAATGGGTGTTTCTCGAAACGGAAGGAGGTGTGCAGCGGTGTCCCCCAGGGACCGGTATTGGGACCACTGCTCTTTCTAATATATATTAATGATCTGGACTTGAGCATAGAGAGCACTATTTCCAAGTTTGCAGATGATACAAAGTTAGGTAGCGTAGTAAATAGCAAGGAGGACTGTAACCAACTGCAAGCAGACATACACAGAATGGTGGAATGGGCTGACATGTAGCAGATGGATTTCAATGTGGATAAGTGTGAGGTGATACACTTAGGTAGGAAAAATGATAGGAGGCAATATAGACTTGGTAGCTCAATCTTAAGGGGGATGAACATACAGAGAGATCTGGGTGTTCAAGTAAGCGAATGATTAAAGGTAGCGGGGCAGGTAGATAAGGCAGTAAAAAAGGCATTTGGTGTACTGAGCTTTATTAGTAGGGGCATAGAGTATAAGAGTAGGGAGGTTATGGTTAATCTATACAAAACACTGGTTAGGCCTCAGCTGGAGTACTGCATCCAGTTCTGGGCACCTTACTTGAGGAAGGACATTAAGGCACTGGAAAGGGTGCAGAGATTCACAAGAATGATACCAGGAATGGGGAACCTTAGCTATGAGGACAGGCTGGAGAAGTTAGGACTTTTCCCATTAGAGCAGAGATTACGCGAGGTCCTGATAGAGGCCTTCAAGATCATGAAAGGTTTCGACAGGCTAGATAAGGAAAAGCTGTTTCCGCTGGTAGGTGTGTCTGTGACCCGTGGTCACAGTCTTAAGATATCTACCAAAAGAAGCAGAGGGGAGGTTAGAAGAATTTTTTTCACTCAGCGAGTTGTTTGAATTTGAATGATCTGCCTGAAAGGGCAGTGAAGTCTGATTCGATAACAGCTTTTAAGAGAGAACTGGATAGGTATCTGGGAAAGACGGGTTTGCAGGGTTATAGGGAGAAAGCTGGTGATTGGGGTTCGTGAAAGTGACTTGCTCTGTCAAAGAGCCGGCACAGACTCGATGGGCCGAATGGCCTCCTTCTGTGCCGTAACATTCTATGAATCTATGAATCTTCCATAACATGGATCGAGTGAGGAGGGGAATTGCATCTCTGGCAGCTTGCTTCAGCTCCTCCCTAGACTCATATCCCTGTTTTGTAACAGGGGGTAACAGGACTTTGTGGACACACTGAGGTACCTCGTTGCTCAAGTTGTTGTTGTTTCAGACACCCCCCCGACGTGAAAGGCGCTCGATAAATGTAATTTTGTTGCTGTTGTTTCTGAGTGAGCCTCCCTCAGAAGCAGCCTCGACACAGAGTGACGTGACTCCAGGCCAGCAGCCTGAAGTCTGACTAGCACCCAATATCCCAAACACCTGCCAATGGGCTTTCCTGGAAAGTAAAGTAACATGCCTCTCAGCTGAATAAAAGTATTACCAAGTGGTGATCAACATGTTTTGTTTTTCTGATTGAAGCATCAGCTGAAAGATACTGAACGTCAACTCCTATTGGCAGGAAGTCCTTCAATCCTTGCCCAGCAGAAGCTTTATATTAGGTGTAAAACTGGTGCGTTGCGACTGGGTCCAAGAACAGCAGAGTGTACAATAGCTATCCAAATATTTGTGTTAGTTTTATCTGAGTTTTTCTCTCTTTGCCAATTTCCTACGCTCCACTTCATCTCAAAGCGTTTCAATGTCTCTATTCATTCTACTTGAGCAGCGGTGTGAGCCTCAATCCCTTTGCCTTGGCCTCTTCTTTGCCTGTCTTCAAATCAGATTTTCCTCTTCAACCGTGCCTTCGGTCATCTCTCTTTCCAGCTCGGCCTCAAACCATACTGCTGTTAGATGCTCCGAGATGTTAGTCACATCAAAGGCGTTATATAAATGCAAGCTATTGTTGATATTGATGGATGTCGAGCAGGGGAGAAGGGGGAGGTGACAACAGGCATGGTCGAAGAAGTAGGTGTTAAGGTGAGATTTAACAACAACAACAACAACAAGATTCCATTTATAGAGCGCCTTTCACGTCAGGAGGACGTCCCAAGGCGCTGCACAGTTGGGTCATGACCCGAGCAGGGGGAAATGGTCAGGGTGAGGGGAGGGAAGGGAGGGAGAGAGGAGGGGGGAAATGGTCAGGGTGAGGGGAGGGAAGGGAGGGAGCGAGGAGGAGGAAGAGAGTCGAGAGGGGAGCTGAAGGCACGGTCAAAGAGAAAGGTTTTGAGACCGGCCTTGAAGGAGGAAAGGGAGGAAGCGGCGAAGGCACTGGGGGATGGAGTTCCAGAGCCTCGGGGCTGAGAGGCTGAAGGCCCGACCACCGATAGTAGGGCGGTTGGGGCGGGGGACGTGGAGCAGACCGGAGCCAGAGGAACGGAGGGTACGGGCAGGTAAGTAGGGGGATATTAGGTCGGAGGGAGCAAGGCCGTGAATGGCCTTGTAGGTGAGGATGAGGATCTTGAATTCAATCCTCTGGGGGATGGGGAGCCAGTGGAGGCGAGCGAGGGTGGGAGTGATGTGGTCCCGAAGCCTGGTGCGGGACAGTACATGAGCTGCAGAGTTCTGAATGACCTGCAGCTTGTGGAGGGAGGTGCCGGGAAGGCCGACGAGGAGAGAGTTCCCATAGTCCAGCCTTGAGGTGATAAAGGTGTGGACCAGAGTTTCAGCAGCGTGAGGGGTGAGGTAGTGCCGTAGTCTGGCGATATTCCGGAGGTGATGGAAGGCGGTGCCCGTTGTGGCGCGGATATGCGGAAGAAAGGACAGCTCAGGGTCGAACAGAACCCCGAGGTTCCTGACTGACTTTGAGAGGTGGAGAGTGCAGCCTTGGATGCTGATGCTGTCAGCGCCTGAGGTGCGGAGGTGCTGACGTGAGCCAATCAGGAGGGCCTCAGTTTTGTGCACAGTGAATTGACTGTATTTTGTGGTCTCACTCGTGGAGTCCTGTAGCTCAGTGGTTAGAGCACTCGCTTTGTAAGCGAGAGACCTGAGTTCAATTCCAGGCAGAGGGCGAAACCTTGGGCAAGTTTCCTTACTCCACACAGAGCCTAATAATAATCCCTCCAAAAAAACAAAAACAATAATTAAATTGGTCATTTTCAATCTACGACTGTTTGTGGGACATTGCTGTGCGCAATTGGCTGCCGCGTTCGCCCACAAATATACAGTCAATTCACTTTACAGTGTGTTCTGTGAAGCGCTTTGGGACGTCCCCCCGACGTGAAAAGCGCTATATCAAATGCAAGGATTATTATTATTATTATTATTATGACCCCACCTTCCCCATTTTTTAGACTTTGTCACCAGATACATTTTGCCTTTCATGTCGGGAGGACTATTCAAAGTGCTTCACAGTGCTAGCAAACGGGGAGGTTAAGAGAAGTGTTTTCACACAGAGTACTGAGGACATAAAACGCCCTGACAGGAGCAGTGGTTGAGGCAGAATCCTAACTAGCTTTCAAAAGGGGACTAGATAGATATTTGGAAATGAGTAAATGGGACTGAAAGGATCGAGCCAGCAAAGACACGACGGGATGAATGGTCTTCTTCTGTAATGTAGATCTGTATGGTTCGATTCCCAAGCTGGGGGTGTGGGGAAGAAAGATGACTGAAAGTACAAATAGGTACATGTTGAGATGTACCTTGAAAAGAGGGAATTTGATGGATTCCAGGAAGGAGTTGGATACACAATTTGTCAGCATAATGTAAGGCAAGGAATGAAAACACAACTTTGAGACCTCCTCTTTTTCAGTCTCAATGTAGCATAACGCAGTTGGCGGAATTAACCATACCTAAATCCCCAGCTGATTTGATATCAATATTGTCAAAACCACTCCCGATTCTGACAATTATTCGAAGTGCTTTGAATTTTTCCAGGTCTTCGCGTGTTAAAGTGATTGTGTGGTACATCAGCGCCCCCACTGCTTCATTTAGTACCTAAGCAAAGAAAGGAGATGTTACCACTTGAACAGATCAGTGACATTCACAGTTTGCTCAGATCAACTCTCACCTGAGGTTTGACAGGTTCAAAACAGTTTTGTAATGTCCACCAATTAAAAAAGATACAATGCACATTTATCTAATAATAATCCTTGAATTCTATATAGCGCCTTATCACGTCTTCGAAACGTCTCAAAACGCTTCACAGAACATACTGTAAAATGAATTGACTGTGTATTTTGTGGACGAAACGTGGCAGCCAATTGCGCACAGCAGTGTCCCACACACAGTCTTGGATTGAGTGATCAAATTATTATTTCTTTTCTTTTTGTGAAGGGATTATTACATCCGGAAAGCAATCCGCCAATCGACTAACAAACGGGTTCCTACATACTGCTGGGTAAACAAAGGCATGTGGAGTAAGGCAACTTGCTTAACATTTCGCACTGGGAATCGATTACGGGTCCCCTTGCTTGAGAGGCTCAGAGACTCTAACCAATGCATTACCGGACTCCACAAAATAGCACATTTCACATCGTGAGGACATCTCAAACCTCTTTACAGTGCTCAATGGTGGTAGGAGCTTAAGAGGGTTGGGGAGGGGGAAAAGATCAACTGAAAGCATGGTCAAAGAGGTACGTTGTGAGACACATCGTGAAATAGGAGAGAGAGGGAGGAAGTTGGAGGGATTCCAGAGAAAGGAGGAGAGCAGAATGGCTGAAAGCCACCTGACAATGTTGGGGTAGTTAGGGTAGAGACAGTACATAAAGCAGGCTTGTGCTCATTGAGCAAAGGGAGCAGTTGGGACAGGTTTTTCCAAGTCTTTGCGAGGTAAAGCGATTGTGTGGTACATCACTGCAGAGCTAGGGTGGGTGAGATTTGCTTGGTGAATGCTTATCAGCGACGCAAGTGCATTTTAGGAACACTGCCAAACAGGGGAGAGATTCGATCCATGTCTTGACTTGCACTATTTCCTGAGTGTTTCAGATCATACATAATTTGGCAAATTATTAAATGCACTCTTAATTTCAAAGCCTGTTTTCTGGAACTTCAGAAAACTGGTCTCACAATTAAGACTACATTTAAGAATTTGCCAAATCCTACACACTTGGAGAGCGCTAAGAAAATAGTGATAATCTAATCCCAGGTCTCCCCCTAGGTTTGTTTAGACATTAAACAGAATTTGTCAGCAAAACGGAAGGTATGAAACAAAAATAATATAAAAAATTTGCATTTATTAGCCGCTGCTGAAATCTTACAGAAACCCAGGGAAATGGGTGGAGGAGGGGGAGAGAGAGAGTAGCAGGAAGAAAAATGCAAATTCCACCCCTAGTTACAGACACCGGCCTAGGGCAGTTTTGTCCAAGTAAATTTCCATTCATGTAAATGCATTATCTAGTTTTGTCGGATCGCTTTCAGGGTGTAAGAATCCCTTCACAAAAAAATAACAATTTGGTCACTCTGTGTGCATTTGGTGGGAACAGTCCACTTTACAGTATATTCTGTGCAAAGCTTTGAGACTTGATAAGGCACTATATCAAAAGCAAGGATTATTATCAGTATTTTCCATACAGCTTATAGAATGTTTTCAAGGAATTCTGTTATCAATTTTCGCCAACAATCGTTTCCGTTCCACTTGTTCTGGAGCCATTGTCTTCCTGTACCTTGTGTACGCGGGGGGTTGGGGGGGAGAAAAGGGTCATGATTTGATAACAACGGAGCTTAATACCCCACCCTCAAGCCGTAAATTCTGGCATGTTAGTACTGCTCACACCCTTTGGAACTCCATCTCACAGTACCTTGGCCTCCCCATCACCAACCACCCCCACCCCGCCTCCTTCAAGGCCCGTCTCAAGACCCTCCTCTTCTACTGCATCTTCGGTCACTCTCCTACTCCTGCCCTCCACCCCTCCTGATCCCAACCCCCAACTCAGGTACACATCCTTGACTGTCCAGCGCTTTGGGATGTCCTCCCGACGTGAAAGACGCTATACATGTCATTTGTTGTTGTTGTTGCCTCGGGTGAGGGCAGGCACTGATTGTAGACGAGGAATCCAAATCTGTATGGCTCAGACACTCAATCAGGTCAACAACATGTAGTTCAGCACAGACCAGGAATCAAACCTTCCATCTCCGTACAGCTCAGCCACTCACCCACAGTGACTTCAGCAGAGATTGGGATTTGAATCTCGGACCATCCAGAACAGTCGCTCACTGGATTAACACACGGTCAAACAGAGAGTTCAGCACACATTGGGAATCAAACCTTCCAAGTCTGCATCCTTTTGCCTGCATTTCTTTAATTATGTATTTTTAAAACACTGATTAATTCAAATCAGACTTGGCGCTCATGTCTTCATTTGGTCTCTTTGAGATATGAGCAGCCAGTGATCTTAGGCCAGATTTTAACCCACTCCCTTGTGAAACCAGACGGCTGAGGAGATTTCTGGAATGTCTACATCTTTACATCAGGTTTGCAAAATCTTCTAATCAGCTGGTACTTTTGCTTTGTCCTGATAATTCTGATAGATAATACTCATACTTGCTTTTGGTGTAGCACCTTTCATATCTAAAGGACATCCCAAAGTATTTGATAATAGAGAAATCAAAAAGTAGATCGACATTTGACATAAATATTTTGTAAAGACCTGGATTAAAAAATAATATTCTTAGATGATATGAAACAACAATAGCACCATAGCTCCAGCACACATCTAAGGGTTAGCTGCAAACTTGGATTCTATTTAAAGGAAAAGCACAATGAGCCAATTTATATGTAAGCTCCTTTTGCCCTGAATCAAAATCAAAATGATAAGCATTAATGGGGAGCTTAAGTGAAACAAGCACTAAAATCTTTCAACATCTGGTTTTAATGGAGCAAAAAAAGAAAATCCCTTTAATCCTTTAACAGACTCTCTGTGTTCTTACACAGTATTACAGAAGCTAAAGCACGATCAAGGGCAAAATAACGCATTCATTTTGATGGGGGAAAAGAAGTTTTTTGAAACGTCTGAATTAAACATTTCTAAATAAAAATTCCTGTGGGACATTCATTTTCAGAGGTTACTGTTGCCTTACTAGAACAGTTTCAGGTAGTCAACCATATTACTGACCTCCTCAATGCATTTAATTTCCAGGAACATTTCTAGCTAATTTCTGAATAGTTAGTTCCTTTGGCCATGTGCATCTCATGCCCCCACCCCACCATTGATGAACAGATTTTCAGCCACTCCATCCACCCTCAGGAACTCTGCCCGACCCTCAGGAACTCCGCCCCACAGCCCTTACACGGCTACAATGGACCTAATCTCAACCATCCTATTCCACATCCCAACTACTCTCTGCGTGAAATAATTCCTCCAAAGATCTCCTTTCGCAATTCTTGTGGCTTTCTGATAACTATGTCCCCAAGTCACTGAATCCCTGATCAATAGAAATAACTTTTCCCTATTTACCTAAACAACTTGCATTTATATAGTGTCCTTCACACTCGGCAGCGTCTCAGAACACTTAAAACAAAACCCTTCATAATTGTGTACACCTCTGTCATGTTTTCCCTTCAATCGTCTCTGCTCCAATGAAAACACACCCAGCCTCACCAATATCTCCTCATAGCTGTAGCCCTTCATCCCTGGATTCATTCTTGTAAACCCTAATATAGGTAAAGCAAACACTGAACTCATTAGAGGAAATATATAACGAAGGAGATACTTAAACCCAGCTCTAGTGAATTAAACACACCTTCAAAGAACAATCCATTAAGCCTAGAGGTCTCAATTTTAAGGCCTCTTATAAGACAAACGGTCATAATATCACTAGATTTCAGTTTAGATTTACAATGGCAGCAGCTAAATTTTCTATTACGCTGAATCTATTAGATTTAATAAATTCATTATGGATTCCATCACGTGGGGAAGCCAAATCCTCAGCTCAACACTTTTGCCTGCTTTCCACTGAATGCTGTTCCCAATTCCCAGTCCTGTTCCTGCCTCGATCTCTCCTCTCTGAACAAAAAAAAACACTTTTAAATGTGGGTTACAAAGAGATCAGAGCACTCTGGTAGTTAAATATCTATTACTTGAAACATAAATGCAATAGTATAAGCCTGCAAGTGCATGCAAGTGATTGCTCTCTTTATACAGAAGAATCCTGGTGTATTTGAGTTATGAGCTTTTTCAACCGCAGAGTGGGGATCCTGTCTGCCTGTCTAATTGGACATTAAAGATCCCATAGCACAATTCGTAAAGAGAAGGGAGTTTCTCCTAGTATCATGGCTGGCAATCCTCAAACAATAAAAATTGGTCATTCACTTCATGGCTGTTTGCAGTACATTGCTGTGTGCAAATTGGCTGCCGTATTCACCTGCAAATACAGTCATCACATTTTACAATAACATCCCATGAAACGCTAAATCTAACTCCAAGTCAGATTTCAACTGTATCGTGCTTGTGGAGCAAATCGTGAGAACTTGAGAAACTATAAAGTAATAATTTGATCTATAATAAATGCATTTTGCTTCATTTGTTCCCAATCATTAGGGTTTCCTCTTCCCCTCCACCACACGCACCACCACTACAAGAGATTCAGAGAACCAAAGGGAGAGGTTGGGAGAAGTTCTTCTACATAGAAGGTTGTCAGGATGTTGAATATTCCATGTGGAACCATGGTTGAGGCAGATTCCATATTAGATTTTAAGAGGGAATTAGATAAAACTTGAAAAATATAAAAGGGTGTGGGGCAAAGGCAGGAGTTGACACTAAACTCTGTACCACCGTCACACCAGTCCTTGCCAGGCTCCACTGGCTCCGTCACAGAACGGATGGATTTCAAGATCCTTTCACTTGTCTACAAATCCCTTCACGTCCTGGCACCTCCCTAACTTTCTGACCTGCTTTATCCCCACTCCGCTACCCACTGCCTCCGCTCGGCTGGCTCTGGCCTCCCGCTCGTCCTTCGTGCCCTCCGATCCACCATCGGCAGCCATGCTTTCAGCCGCTTTGAAAACATTGGAACTCTCCCTCAATCTTTCTGCACTGCCCCCTCATTCCCCTCTTTTAGATCACGACTGAAGACGTGCTTATGGTCACCTCCTCCCTATCTACTGCTTGGTGTCAGGCTCCACCATTGTTAGGTGCTCCAAGACACGCTCTCACTTGAAGGGTGCTATATAAATGCAAGTTGTCGTTGTAGTATTACAAATTGCTATGGTTTCAGGTACTATTTCTAGATCTGCCAAGTGATTGACTGTCTATCTTCCCTAAAACAACCAGCATGTGGTGTAAGAGTGCAATTTGGTGTCAGTCTGGTATAAAGTTTCTCCCTGTTAAGACAAGCCCACTGAGAAAGTGATTGAAAAAGTGCTGGAATGGAAAACCGCAAAGTGCGTGAGCATGATAATAAGTACTTTTGGAATAAACAGCACCCTGGAGTTGAATTGCAACAAATATATAGTGATGCACAGAGTACAGCAAAGGTTTACGAGGATGATACCAGGGCTGGCAGGTTACTGCTATCAGGAGAGAGTGGATTGGTTGGGCCATTTTTCACGTGAGGCAGTTAAGGGAGAACCGAATAAAAGTGTTTAAAATTAAAAAAGGTTTCGAAAAGGTGAACATAAATAGGCTGTTCCACTTGTTGGGGACCCCGTAACCAGGAGACACTGACACTAAGCTAGCGACTGGGGGATCTAAAAAAGAATTTAGGAGGACCTTCACGGAGTGAGATTGTGAATGAAACATATGGTGTTCAAGAGGAACCTAGACCTCCACATGAGAGAGAAGAGAACATAAAGAGTTTGGGAGAGCGTAAAGGAGCGGGTAAAGGCTCGTGTGGAGTCCCTCCCTCCCATACCCACCATAAACATCAGCACAGACTGGTTGGGCCAAGTGGGCTGTTTCCGTGCTGCACATTCATTGTAAATCTTTGTAAACTTGCATTCATATAGCGCCCTTCACACAGGATAGAATCTCTGAACGCTGAAATTGCAGAAAGTTGGTGCAATGTACATGGGGTTCCCGTCATGTGATACGCTCCTTATCGCTCTGATTTTCTGCTACCCCATCCTCTGCTCACCCCCACCGCTCGGCTAATTCAAACTCACTGCAGGATCCCCGTCAAACACGCACCATCATTGGTGGTCGAGCTTTCCAGTTCTACACCACTAACCTCTGGAACTCTTTCACTCAACTCCTCCACGTTGTGCTCTCGCTAATTTGTCAAGTCCTGCCTCTTCCTCCTCGACTGGCTGCGCTCATCTCCCCTCCCTGCTTGGCAACCGTCCTCGCCACTGGGAAACGCTCCTGTAACTCTATGTGAAGGATGCTCTATAAAGGCAAATTGCTGTTGCTTAACCCCAAGGCTCCTTTCCTGAAACTCATGCGTTTTCAACACCAAAGTCAGAAACTCAACCTTGTGAGAATTCATTCACAGGTGACAAACTTTTTAAGTTGATTTTTTAGCATTTGCCAACTTCTGAGTTTCCGGGAGGTCCTTTCCGTGTGACGTTTACACACAGCGAACCGCAAGTGACATCCGAGGCAACCAACAGTCCGGAGGTTGGTTATTTTCGCAGTTTAAAGAAAAGCGATAAAAGTCTGAGGAAAAAATTAAACATCTATTTTATCCGTCAAGAATCAGATAAATTAATAATAAGCGATTTCTACCAGCCCCAGACTGTTGGGCAGGTGATCAATCGTTAAGAGATACACTTACTAATCAAATACTCACCAGCAACTGTGAATGCAACACACACACTCCAGAACCTTTTTAATGCCTGTTTCACAAGAACATAAGGTTGGTTTGGATGAAGAAGGCCCTTTGGCCCGTCCAATCTCAACCTTCCAGAACACCCACCCCACTGTTCCCCTCCCCATCACAGCATCACGTTGCATTTCAAATGAAGACCCTGAGATTCACTTTAAAAAACTGAAATGGACAGAACAAAACCGCAAAGCGTTCAAAGTTTAGCTGCAAGTCTTCAGCGGGTGATTCTCCCAGATTGTTACGCAACACCAAAGATATTGCTGAGGACTGAAAAGAGGACTGAAATCCACGTTTCCGCGTGCGCTCACCTTCTCGTGAATTTCTTGTGTGGATTGTGCATCACAGAAAGCCACTGTTGCTACATCTTTTAGAATGGGCATTTCTACGGTGCAATCGCGGCCATCCAGCAGCGCCACCAGGGGGCGCGGGTGCATGGGGCCATTCATGATAGGAGGACGAATGCCTAGAGTCAAAGGGAAATAAAAGAAAACAGGTGAGATTCTGGGAATCAAACAGGACGTGAACGCTTTCCTTCTCCCACCAACACCCCCCAATGTCATACAGTATTCATTCCAAATATTCTCAGGCAGACTGTCTTACAGAAATACAAGAAAAGCCTCGAAGACCTAAATATAAAGAGGAAAGGAATATTACTCTAAGGCATGTTACTGTACAGAGTTTTAGTCGTGGGGAAAGGGAAGATTTTAATTTTTCAGTGTATTGTTTCTAGCACAATTGTGCTAATGCAGATTGAACTGTGGCACTGCCATAAAGAACTGTGTTGTGTTGTACAGCTTTAATTGAGAGGCCAGTAAGATAGGGGGCTATGCATTGCAGCCTGGGTGATGCACTGGGATTAAATACTACAGAGAGTTAGATGCCAGAAAGCATCATTTGAATACGGGTCAAACAGTCAACACTCACGACTCTGGCAATTGCAAAATCCATCTATAGAACACACTACTATAACTAACACTAGTTGGAGCGAAAACAGTTAGTTAACGCTTTTTTAAAAATCTGTTGGCATCGTTAGCTCCATCTAAAGTTCCCCTTAACCAGGGAACACTGTGCAAAACACGTTGATAAGCCATGGAGTGGTTGGATAAGGGTTTCCACCTGCATTTCCCCACACAGCAAGTTCTTAGTCGTTTGCTGCCGCGAGGAGCTGCCAAGCGGCAAACCAGGAATTTCACTTCCACTGTGACTTTGGGCAAATCGGAGCAGCTCAGTTACCGACTGCAGTGCACGTCCGCACATCTTCTAGTGCCTAGCTGCAGGCTAGCATTTTCAAAAACATATTTTCACAAACATCTCTGGGGGATACTGGGGTCTAAACTACAGAAGTTTCATTGAATCCTGCAGATGACAGGGATGTGTCCTGGCAGAGTTGCTGAGGGTGGGAGCAGCCCAGCCCCGGTTATTGGCAACATTCAGCGGAGTCCTGTAGTGAATTGGTTGCAGTACTCGCCTTGCAGGTGAGAGGACCTGGGTACGATTCCCGGGCAGGATGAAACCTTGGGCAAGTTTCCTTACAGTAAGTAGGAAGCAGTTGTCAGTCGATTGGCAGATCCCTTTTCAGGGGTAAAAATGCCTCCAAAAAATAAATTTGGTTACTCAATCCATGATTCTGGGACGATGCTGTGCAAAATTGCTACCAAGTTTCACCCATAAAATGTAGTCAATTCACTGTACAGTATATTCTGTGAAGCACTTTGAGATGTCTAAACAACGTGAAAAGGCACTATATCAAATGCAAGGATTATTATGTTATTATATATACAAATCTAGGTTGGTCTCCTGCATTTTATGACTTCAATTCAAAAAGTACCTCTTTAATACTCTGCTTATGAGATTGTAAATTGAGGTCAGGGACAGCAACCACAGAAATGTTTCAGTACTTAAAATCTGTCTTATAGACAAGTCCAATGAGCTGTAGTTATAGATTCCTATTTTATTGGGGAGGGGTTGTGCGGGAAGGGTTAACATGCATCCCATTGAGATCAGCTGAAACATCCCCTGTTTAAAAAGAACTCACCCCTATTAGGCTTCTCAAGACTTTGGTACATTTAAAACAAAAAAAGTTCAATAAATTCTATCACTTAGTTCAACAGTTACTGTTTCAGTAGAACTGTAACATTGAATTTAATATTCAGAGCAAAAGGAGTTTTATAATGCCTGTGTGTAGGATACAAGCAAGGAACTGGGGGTCAGGCGCAGAGCGATGTATGGCAGACCTCTACCCAAAATGAGAGGGGAGGGATCACATGAGCCTTGATGGGTTGTGAAAGCACCAGTTTATGAGAGCCCAAGGCAACAAGATCAACGCGTTGAGTGATGGTTAGCGTGCTCGCCTTGCAAGTAAGAGAACCTTGGTTTGATTCCCAGGCAGGGTGCAACCTTGGGCAAGTTTCCTTACTCCGCAAGCCTCTGTTTACCTAGCAGTAAGTAGGAACCTGATTGTTAGTCGATTGGCGGATCGCATTTTAGGTATAATAATCCCTCAAAAAAAATTGGGTCACTCAATCCATGACTGTTTGTGGGACACTGCTTTGCACAATTGGCATCGTGTTTCACCCACAAAATACATAGTCAATCCACTTTACAGTACATTCTGTGAAGCACTTTGAGACGTGTCGACAATGTGATAAGGTGCTAAATACAAGGATTATTATTATTAATACTACGCAACTCTCTGCATCATTCTCTCAGTTTCACAGGCAGCATAGAGTAAAACATGCCAAGCAACAGCACAGGGATATATTAACGGAGAAGGTAAAGTAGGTCCGCACTACTAATTTCTTAGCTGTAGCTCAGTGAAATGGATATGCTGAGTGTAAAAAAACGTATTCAAATACATTTTTAAACCCAGCAAACACTGTGTAATCTATCTGACCCATCAAGCCTGGTGCTAGCTCATCCAATGGAGCCAAATGATTTAACATAACAAAAAATGTTTTTAAGTGATTTCTACTGCTAACATCTGCAATTGTTGGAAAATATCCAACTCATTCAGAGAGCCCAGAATACTCCACAAAATATAAAAGTAAGTTCAATACTAGAGAGAATGTTGGTTATATATTGATACTGCAAAAAAAACCTCGTCTCGATTTTCTTTAATTCACTTTACTTTAGAAATAAAACCTGTTAATTTGCCAGCGCCACAAAACAGAAGCTTTGTTTGGGCGAGGGAACTTTTTTTAAAAATTCCCTTTTCTGGATAACTCACAAGTTCCAGTGAAGGGTTAAATCTTACACTAGAACCTTAGAAATGTCCAGCACAGAAGAAGACCATTCGGGTCAGCTATTTCGGGTCCTAAACAATCCTCAGTCCCATTTACCTGCCCTTTTCCCATATCCCTGTAGTTTGCTCAGTCAGACTCCGCCACTGTGAAGCGCTCTGAGACACTACCCTGCGTGGACGGTGCTATATAATGCAAGTTGTTGTTGTAGTTTACTGCATATCCCTGCAAACCCCTCCCCAGTACAAACAAGATTAGTGACTGTGAAGGTACAAGCTACCTTTTAATGTTGCACATTGTAGTTCTACCACATTGCAATGTTCACTTTTGTATGTTAATAAATGATAAGTCTTGCTCACAGCTGGCTCATTTGGTAACTTTTCAATACATTTTCCAGATGTTTTAAAGGGAAACAAAAACCTCTAAAATTTGCCTCCCTAGTATAATTTCCGCTCCGTACTCTCCACCTTGGCTTACATTAACTAGTGCTTATATGTCGACGTTACAAAGAGATACAAAGAGATTACAGAGAATGCACAGCACAGAAACAAGCCAAACCAGTCCATCCTGGTGTATATATTCCACACAAGTCTTTACCCACTCCTTACTCCCTCCCATACCCTTCTATTCCCCTCTCCCTAATGTGAAGGTCTATGTTCCTGTTGAACGCATCTACACTATTTGATTCAACCACCGCTTCAGACAGTGAGTTCCACAACCTCACTACCCTGGAAAATGAAAATGTATTTATATGTCAAATTTTGTGACAGTTACTTTAAAGAATTGTTTTTGAGAAAAAATAGCTGTGTTCTTCTCACTGTTATACAATACAAATGGAGCACAAATAGATGGTGATCAGTGATCTGAAACAATAAGAGTAAATATGCATGTTTAGCATATAAAATGAACAATTAAAATATAAAATATCAGTCAATTCACTTTACGGTGTGTTCTGTGAAGCGCTTTGGGACGTCCTCCCGACGTGAAAAGCGCTATATCAAATTCAAGGATTATTATTATTATTATTATAATTAACAAGATTTACATAGATGTGCTTAGGCATTTTTGTTCCTAAAATGCAGCCAAATTTAAAACTCAATCTGTGTTCAACAATAAGGTAGAAATCACAATCAGATACTTTGTCGGACTGTGAGGCTTTGCTGATTATGGTCAGAATTGTACTCACAAGACTATTTTTGTCTTGACTGCTGTTCCACTCGAGCAACAATATTCAACGCTTTGGAGGAGTGTCCATTTTTTTAATATATATATATAATAAATATTGCTGTGCACAGAAAGAGATGACCTACCTTGTTAAGCTCTTCTTTGTTCCTCTAGCCCTGCCATCCTTCACATACTGCTGGGTAACCACAACTGAAGGTATTTTGCCAGGCAAAAAATAAAAATCATGAAACGAAACCCCTTTATGAGACTATGACATAATCTCTTTAAGACATTGTCAAGTGATTTCTCCTAGTTCTGCAATGCATAGAAGGACATAAACTAGGAAAAGTAGTAAACAGTGAGGAGGATAGTAGCAGACTGCAAGAGGACTGGTAAAATGGGCAGACACGTGGCAGATGAAGTTTAATGTGGAGAAATGCAAAGTGATGCATTTTGGGAGGAAGAATGAGGAGAGGCCATATAAACCGATGGTACAATCTTAAAGGGGGTGAAGGAACAGAGAGACCGGGGGGTTCATATCAGTAAATGTTTGAAGGTGTCAGGACAGGGAGATAAAGCTGTTAAAAAAGCATACGGGATACTTGGCTTTATAAATAGGGGCAGAGAATACAAAAGTCAGGAAGTTATGATGAACCTTTATAAAGCACTGGTTAGGCCTCAGCGAGAGACTGTGTTCAGTTCTGGGCGCCACACTTTAGGAAGGATGTCAAGGCATTGGAGAGGGTGCAAAGGAGATTTACCAGGAATGAGGGATTTCAGTTGTGAGAAGAGGTTAGAGAAGATAGGATTAGTCTCCTTGGAGCAGAGAAGGTTAAGAGGAGACTTAATAGAAGTTTTCAAAATTATGAAGGGATTCGATAGGGTGAATAAGGAGAAACTATTTCCACTGGCGGGTGGGTCAGTAACCCGAGGACACCAATTTAAAATAGTTGTTAAAAGAAACAGAGGGGAGATGAGGAGAAATTTTTTCACACAGCGAGTTGTTCGGATCTGGAATGCATTGCCTGAAAGGGAGGTGGAAGCCAATTTGATAAGAGCTTTTAAGAGAGAAGCAGATAATTATTTGGGGAGGGCAAGTTTGCAGGGCTATGGGGAGAGAACGGGGGAGTGGGACTGAACTGGATAGCTCTTTTAAAGGAGCTGGCCAGACACGATGGGCCGAATGGCCTCCTTCTGTGCTGTATAAATCTATGATTCTATGACATCCCCACAGAACTGTCAGGCCCAAGAACTGGAGAGGAAGGGGTAGAAAGAAGAGAATACAACGCATGTAACGTGCTGTGGCTCAAAGAAAACGGCCCTTACTTTCCTTCTTATTAACTCAGCATCTTGTTCACTTCACTGAAGACTGATAAATGACAATAGCTACACAGAGAAGATGGGAGATCACTACCGGGCATGGACAACACAGGCACATTGCTAATTTGTGATCTGACTGATCTTAACAATAACATAATCTTTGTATTTAAAATCGAGATGTCTCAAAGTGCTTCACAAATTATACTGATAATAGTATATTATATTAGTATAATATATTATATAATTGACTGTATATTTTTTGGGCTAAACCCGGCAGCCAATTGCGCACAGCCGTATCCCACAAATAGTCCAAATCACCACATTATTATTATTATAAATTTTTTTTTTAAAGGGATTATTACCCCCAGAAAAGTATTCCGCCAATTGACTAACAACCGGGTTACTACTTTCTGCTAGGTAAACAGAGGCGTGTGGAGTAAGGGGAACTCGGCTAAGGTTTTGCCCTGCCCAGGAATTGAACCCAGGTCCTCACACTTAAGAGGCGAATGTTCTAACCAATAAGATACAGGTCTCCATCTGGTAAATGCAAGTTGGTACTAGCAAATTGCATGTTGACATCTAGAAGTACAGGTTGCTGCCTGATCTACTTCCACTGAGTCAAAGAACCAACGCAGAGACCAGTGATACAATAGGCTGAACTTAAGAGGCTTCATTAAGAGTCCAGCATTGCTGCCCGTGAGAACACAAAGGAGTGCTCTTCTGTAGTCCTTTTGATGGGTAATGTACTCAGTCAGGAAGGGCTGTCTGGGCCAAAATAAAATCCCTCCCGAGATGTTGAAAACCACAGCACCTCCACCTAGCTCTAACAGAGCGTTCCTAATTCAGGGTGAAGCTGACCTGTGGGGAGGTTGGTCTCAACCACAGCTTGACTGTCCTCTCAAAAGAAAGCTCCCAAAAGCCATTCTCATGCTCAGAATACTGTCCCGATGTGGGGTCAAAGGAGTATTCCTACCAGGACAGAGTGACCAGACTCATTAAGGAATGGCTTGAACTGAGGCTGCCAAAGCAGAAATGGAACTTCAACTCAAGTCATCAAATAAAGTCTCAACCTGACTTCATGTCCTCACCACTCAGGACTTGCTCGAAGCTTCTGCTGCAATTTTCATAGGTCAATAACTTAAGAGCATAACGTCACAGCATTTTAGAGTGGATATTTGCTGCATTATTTCCACCACCAGCACCAACACTGTGGTCACCTAGTGGGTCGTGGAGGACAGTGAATAAAGAAAGAAACACACTAAATACACAGTGTTTTTTTTAAATTGGGAGGAATTGGGCTTTTTAAAGCTTCACAGTCCAGTAACGATGTGAAATGGAACCCAAATTTCCAAAACACACCTTTGAATTTTAAGCACATGGTAAGAATTAGTTTAAGGTTGCAACTGCATTGGCATGGGGGACATTGTTAGACCTATGGGGCCAATTTGGCCTCAATGAAAACAGTCGTTGTTGTTAATTGGTGCCACTGAATTAGGTTCAATATTACCAAGAAAACAGTTTTGCCTCTGTATGCACTGAGATTCAATGGTTGTTACTCTTGGGAAGTGTTAATTCATATATAAAAAATCCTTGCATTTAGTGCCTTATCACGTCACCGAGATGTCTCAAAGCAGATCACAAAAGTGAGGTGGTTGTGTATAATTTGTGGGCGATCATCTAACATTAGCATTATTTAACATACTATGCCAGGTGCTTGTTTTTTGAAGTGGTGAGTGTTAAGAACGCGAATGTTGTCCACATATCTGTCAATGACTGGAACACTTCAGTTTGTAGATGAAGAGAATAATGGGTTATTTAGGAACTAACAGTATAAAAATACATCCCTGTTTTTGCTTTTCAAAAAAAGGTTTTGAATTTTTTATGTCTGTCATTTGAAAACTGTCCCTATTGCCATCAGAGATGTATTATTCCATCTGTTGGAAAAATACTATGTTCGATGCTGGGACTAGTCTTTTTCTCTTTCTCTCTTTCCCTTTCTGTTGATCCTAATGAATCCACAGAATCTGCATACAAAATGTAGACTCTATAGCCCACTTACACAATGACATTAATGCTAACAGTGAGTCAAACTGGCGTCAATATTTGTTTTGAGTGTAACATTTTCCTACCCTTGATGTCTCCAGGCCACACACTACTTGGAGTCAAGAGCCTAAGTTGGTGACTTGCTCCTAGGGTTCTGCCAATCCCACTATGAACCCAGTTGTCAGGATATGTCAAAGAATCCAGGGATATGTCACCCTCCAATGTTCCCCTCCCTACCAGCGAAGAAAGTAAGTCATAGCCTTTAGTAAATAATAATAATAATAATCCTTGCATTTGATACAGCACCTTATCACGTTTTGGAAATGTCTCAAAGCGCTTCACAGATATTTCTGTACAGCAACAAGACAGAAATTGGAAACTTGGTGGATGGAACCAACCATTCCATGGCATCAACATGTTGGCACCAATGTCCTAAATCACCTAATGTGGCATTGGTAGCCACAGAGCTATTAATATTGCAGTTCTACAGCCAACAAATCATGGAAGTTTTGCCATTGGTTTTAAGGATGGCTTTAGTAGAGTGCAGAAACTCATTCCCACCCACCTGCTGCTTCTCCTCTTGCAGTTCGCAGTGCAGTTATGGACACAACCAGATCACATTGAATTTGTCACAGCAAGTCAATTAGTAATCGGAAAGGATCAGTTACTAGGGTTTGTTTTTTTGTAAATAAAACCTTCTAGAGGAACGCAACTTCAATCAGAAAAAACAAGGGAACAATCATTTTCAATGGAGGAGAGAAAGGAGTGGGAAAGAGAAAGCACATGAACTCTCAGACTTTAGAAGCAGATACCTTCACCTTTTAAAACCAGGCACCCTGATCCATTAGCACAATTTTTGCAAAGCTTAATATGGTCAAAATCCATTGTAAATTTGTGGGGGGACCCACTCTTAATATTAAGAGGATATTTTTACTGAGAGTTGAGCTTCTCTGCAGATTATAACAGAGCATCAGCCAAAATCAAGGTGAACCTTTGTTACAACACAAGGTTTGTGGAAACCAGTTTGTTGTACCAAGATTTAAGTATATTAAATAATTACGCATCAACTCTGCAGTCGCTGAATATTGACATCATACCATCCATCTTACAGAAGAAATTAGAACATGCTTAAACATCACAGTTTGAAACACACGGTTCTTTTTACAAATGATCTTGATTAATGGCTGGCACTTTCGGTGAGTTAGAGGATTAAGGAAGAATTTCAATTAAATTTTAAAAATTAAGAGACAGTTTTGATGCAACTTTTTTTGTTGCCTTTGCACTACAGGGTAGAAAGTTCATAAAAGCAATGAAAAAAAAGACCCACTGTGCATACTGTAGTCATTTTTGTGTAAAAAAATCTTCATTGCTTCATCTGTCGGAACCCAGCGATAGCCATAATGCCTTTTCTAAACATAATTAATAGACAAATGCATTATTAAAAAGGGTAAAACAAGTATGCACTGCTGTTCACATCCTGTGCAACTGAAGCGTTAATACAAGCAAGCCATACTGACCTACGAGTCATATTGCCTTTTAGAAAGTTCTTGTTCGAGAGCAACTTCACTTGTAAATGAGAAAACCAACGAGCAGAACAATTCATTGCAATTTAACAGTCCATAATTCACAAAACTGAAATTGCCATGGTTTCTTACATTTACCCTTCAGTGCCTAAAATGTAGAACATGTGCTAATAATCTATTTTCAGCTATTAAGGATACAATGGCCTTCATTTCAGTTTTATTGTAAATAGCATTTGACTGAACCAGTAACAGGCAACTTAACCAAGAGCGGCAGTGAAATTTATTCTGTGTTTTTAGGCAGCAGCTGGAACGATTTTGACTTCACCCTACAAAACCTCTCTTTGTTTCGAGCAAGTTCCTGTGCTTACAACCTCAGGAGACGTAAATTAGCTTAGTTATTTGATTTAAAGGATCTCACTGAAAAAGATGCATAGTATTGGAGTGTCCAGGTGAAAAATAGCAAATTTTAAGTAAAAATGCTTTTTTAAAAAAATACTAAAATACTAAAAAAAAAATTCTTGAGACAAAAAAACTCCAAAAATCTCAAGGGGCTGTTTTTAAACAAAATATATAAAACATAATTGCCTTTTAAAGTTGTCTCACTAAATGGGATTGAAAGTACAGCTTGCTCTGAGAACGGTGCAGTAAATTTCTATGATTCAATACATTTTAAGATGTTGATTTTCCGCTAACCCCCTGGAAGTTTCAGTTATGACACTGCCTCATTAGGCCTCCAAGATCAATTCTTCTTGTATCACTAAGAAAATATCAAAAATCAAATGATTTTGATCAAAATGCAGGGATTTTATTAAGCAGAGGAAAAGTGTGACCTTCAGCACCATTTGACCTTAGTTATGCTACCCAGATTGACAAAACGTGAAACTACTGTGCAAGAAAGGTAAACGCTTAACATACTTTCTACCACTTTATGTTGCTCAGTAAGAACAAATCAAGTACAGTACTTCCAAAGTGTGCTAAGAACATCCAGTGGTTATTAACCAATACTACGCCAGTTTTTTTTTAAAAATCAAATTAGTTGATAAAGTGTCAAATTACTAGGCATCACAGAATGTGTTTCCTAACCAAGTGGGACAAGCATCACATTCTATTTGCAAATGCAAAAGGTTATGTGTTTGCACTAGGCAGGAAAATGTACATTCCTGCACCTCAGTGCCAGCTGGCATTCTTAAATTACATGACAGTACAGCAGCAGAATGTTTGCTCCACAATTGTAGTCAGTTAAGCACCAGATGTAGCACATAGCACATTGATACCCCAAAGCAATGAACCTCACAATTTGGTAGGGTGCACACCACGTCAGTGAGTCAGTCAACATTAGCAAGCTTCCATTCTTAGCCATGCTGTCAAAGGGGAGTCAGCGTTAAGAGAGTAGCCATTTTGCTGGACTTCCTTGGGGATTCTGCAAACAGGAAGGTGAAAAAAAAAGTGCCAAACACTCAGCTTGCTCCAAAGCTAAGCACAAATTTACGCACAAAATGTCAGCCCCGGTTTTCAATGCATCCAAGTCTCATGAAAGCAATGACTTTCTTCCAAATTTGGCAAAATGGTTAAAGAACGTTAGGGATATGAGTTAAATCAAACTGTCATTCACATTCTGATTTAATTATTCACTTAACAATGTAACTAATACTATTCTGATACAGGGCAGGTTAAATACTACTTAAGCCACCCAAGACAACTGAGCCACAGCAATGATTTAATTCTATAAGAGTTGGGTGGGAAGATGAAATTGCTGGGAGAGAGATGTCCTAGTTCTGTCGTGTAGTTAGTGGGAACATTGGGATATATTTTGATGTATCAAAACAATAATAATTTTTAAGGCCTTTTTTTTAAAAACAGGCTTTTTTTGAAACCAATATTTCCCCGATATAAATGATTGTTTTCAATGAAACTTAAAATCGATTGAATACAAAATTTCATCTGAACTGTTAAAACCTGAATTTGCCATTTTTTTCCCCAGCCCCCATGGATGTGTACACACAGACCCTCCTTGCTCCAGGATGGGAGATTGAAATCATGAATCTCGCTTACACAATGCATTCCTGGAACCAGCTGTGATGGCAAGGAGGTTTAGGGATGCACCGAGGTTACATGGATGTTCCTAAATAAGGTTTACACTGTTTCCCCCTCTCTCCCCACCCCCCCCCCCACCCCCACCCCCATTGAATTTTTCCCTCTTTTTGACAGAAATACGAGTATAAAAAAATCCAGGTTATTATTTTGTGAATAGAAAGAGACTTTAATGGTCCTTAATAACAATGAAAAGATGTGGGGGCGGGGGGGGGGGGGGGGGGAGGCCTGAGGCTGTCCATTGAAGTCAAGGACTGACAACCAAGCAGTGGTCTGGTGAAATCACTGACCTAGATCAAGATGAGACTTCCTGCCTTCAATCCTCAGTCACATGAGGCAGATAAATGGAATGAAGCAGAACTTGTTACTTTTTTATTTTAAATATTTGGATTGTTATGATTTTTGTTTGGGTGGGGGGAGGAGGGAGTTTTTGGAGATTTGATCTGTTTGGAACTTACTTCTAATGACTCAACTGAATATGAGTTAGTTTTTCAGTCTTGTGTCACTTGACTGATCACTTCCTTGCTGATGTAAAGGAAATGCTTAAAAGGGAAGATGTGCTTTTGGGATCAAGCGTGAGTCACTTGTGGAATGCTTCTGACAGCAGTAGTAAGTGTGGGCCGTAAAATTGTAGTAATAGAATCATAGAAAGTTTACAGCATAAGGAAGCCTTTTGGCTCATCGTGTTTCTTATTGATCTACATCCATTTCCTAATCCCCTGCTCTATCTCCATATCCATTAAGGTTAATTTTCCTCAAGTATTGATTTTATACAAATCATATTTAAATACAGTTATGAAAGCTTATGCAGCCATTTGTTAGTAGTGTCCTTTATAATCATTGTAAATCAGGAAGATAATCAGAACTTAATCTTGGGAGATTCAGATGCATTTGGTTGCTATCCTCGGAAGCTCGAGGGAAACTGGATAGAGCACATGATGGTAAATAGTTAACGGTTCCGGAAGGGAATGAGCACTTTATGTTTTTAACACACTTTTCTGTAAAAAGTCAAGATAGTAAACATTTTTAAGATGCATTCAAATTTACCAAAACTATGGTTAATAACACATTACAGTTAAAAAAATGTTATAAAAGAGAAGATGGGTTAACAGACTTCATTGCAAAATACTGCACAAGCATCTGACTCTGGCTTATGTGACAATCGGTGCTCGAAAGAGTTTAAATGTGGCAACTACAAGATAACCAATGTTTTGCATGGCGGTAAACAGTGTGCTGGGCAAATGTCAAGTACACTCCACTGAACATAATTGTTTTAACATGTTACTGCAAGGAGTCGAGATGTATATCCATATAATGAGCCATACTGATTTTCTAACAAGGGTTATTAGGGAAATTCGTAAATCAAAGCGAACTGGTGAAAAGAATTGCTTAATGGAAGAAAGACAGGCTTCCGTTCTGTGGATGCTTTTTAAAATTTATAACGTACAGACATATTTGCGAAACTAACTAACAGCCTAGTTGCATTTATTTTTTCTTCACCTGTCACCAATGCTTTATTAATTAGCATTGTAGAAGATTGATAAACAGCCTGCCATGACCTTTGATGCAATACAGTTTTGTAGTCATGTGGTTAGATAATTAGATTTTACAAATAAACGTCCATCATTCAGGCACTGGCTCTGTTGTTGGCCAAAATAGTTCCTGGGTTTACGATTGTTATAGGAAGTTACTTTCAACATTGGTAACACCCTAATGCATTTATTTTAGATGTTTATTTATTTTAAATAGCATGGTATTCCGAAATCTCAAACAAAACACAATACTGTGCCTTTTCACATGAGGAGGACATCTCAAAGCGCTTCGGCACTGCTAGCTGGGCACCCGAGCTGAGGGTGGGAGGCAAAGGGGTTTGAGAGGGGAAAGGTGACTGAAAATGTGCGATTAACACCAAAACTACAGAGCCTGACTATATGAAAATCTTTCTCTTGGATTATGGGCATGTTGTCATCAACACTGGTTGGGGATCAAGTTTAGGAATTTGTTTTGGCACAAACAAGAGTTGTAAACAAGCAAGAAGCACAGAAGCAGCAGCATTAAAACTTGTCCAAATTATTGCTCGTGTAAATTGAACACAGATTTCAAATCGTGGCAACAGTTTGGATAATGGTAACATATCTGTGTATTAAGTCTGCAAGATGAGTAGCAAAAGCTGAGTAACTGTGAAGGGATGGTTTGCAGTCAAATTCCCTAGGACAAGCATTTTGAGGGTCACTGCTGGTAATGTAGGTTGAGGTTGAACATGGGAACCAAATTGTGTCACTTGGAACCTCCTTTTAACCTTTTAATTTTCATCACAGAGCTCTTAGCAAGGTGATGTGGAGCCAGCCTCCTTTGCCCTCCTCAGAGATGATGTTTGTCATTTCCTTGCCCTCTCACTAGTAGGAGGTAGACATCACACCAGGATTGCCATCACACCAAGATTGTTACGCCAACACTGCTTAGTCAGCAACTCTCAGGAGCTGTGGTTCCATTGGGTTGAACCATTCTCCGTAACCCAGATGTTCCCCCCCAAAAAGGCTGACACGCCCCCAGGCGTCATTCCATCCGGGAATTTGTCCCAGCAAAACACGTGTAGGTGGGAAGCATGGAAATCTCAGTTTGGTTTGGATATTCTTAAGCATGGTGATGGGTTTCCACATGTGTCAGACACCCGGCTGACCCCAAACTGAAGGGCTCACACTATGCTGAGCAGCAAAGCCAGGGATACCAGAAACGGAAACAGTGGTGAGAGAAAAATCCCAACACACGACAACCAAAAACATAAAATAAAACTAACTTGCTGTTAGAGGCATTCTATTCAAACTAGATTGGGACTTATCCCTGGTGAAAGGGTTAGCAGAACTGGGGATGGGAATCTACCCTCTCTTCCCCACCCTTCCCAACCCAAAATCAAACTGCCGACCACTGTAAAATAAAACCAGTATTAACATGGCAAGCAAGATCGCAAGGTCACCTGACATCAGCCAGCACACATTTATAGGTCCCTCTAACATAACCACATCACAGATCAACAACACTGTGCTGATGTCGGAGCCTCAGGTAAAGATTTCAATGCGATGAAAGGCTTAAGAGAGAGAAAAATAACAGCTCTAAAACGTTTAACATTTTTCCCAGCCTTGCAAAGGCAGAGCAGAGAAAGCACTTTCATTGCAACATAAAGTAGAAGAAAACATCATTGCTAAAATACAGCAACTTAATATTTTAAGCTTCTCATACTTGGACATTCTATATATATATAGAGAGAGAGAGCCTACATCAATTTGCTATTCTAACAATTTACTGATTTATTTATTAAATTGACCCTACTGACCATAACTCTCCCACTTGTCATGTCTAGGATGCATGGGAGTTTTTGGCGATCTTCATCATCCTGCCCATGATCTAAAACATAACATAAAATCATTATTTGTACATATTGTCAACTTTGTCTCCTCAGTTCTCGCTTGCGCTAAAATAAACAGAGAGCGGCACCACTTCAATCAACGCCGGCCAGCTTAGATAGGCAATCTGAAATTAACCCCTCATAATCGGTGCAGCCTTATCAACAAAAAGATAAAGGCTGCCTTTCAAATCGAGTCAGTTTTGAGGTTCTTGAACATGTGCAGATGAAAAATTAAACTTTACCACAAAAATATGTTAGCTTGCAAAGTCATGAGAGAGCAAAAATGCAACACATTTTAGGGCTGACTTTAAATTAATACAAAAAGCAGTTTACACCAAAATACTTAATAGCAGTTATCTGACGGGTGGATGGGAGATGTAATTGTTTCACATCAGAGTACACGAGGCACACGCAAGGGAAAAATAGTTTTAAGAGAATGCCAAATATATAAATGAAATATTAGAATGATATCACAAGTAACTGAAAACACCATTTGTGGAGTCCTGTAGCTCAGTGGTTAGAGCACTCGCTTTGCAAGCGAGAGACCTGAGTTCAATTCCAGGCAGAGGGCGAAACCTTGGGCAAGTTTCCTTACTCCACACGCCTAATAATAATCCCTCCAAAAAACAAAAACAATAATTAAATTGGTCATTTTCAATCTACGACTGTTTGTGGGACATTGCTGTGCGCAATTGGCTGCCGCGTTCGCCCACAAATATACAGTCAACTCACTTTACAGTATATTCTGTGAAGCGCTTTGGGACGTCCTCCCGACGTGAAAAGCGCTATATCAAATGCAAGGATTATTATTATTAATATGATCAAAACGGCTCGACTCAACGACAACGAATAATCTTTACACTTGTGTTTGGTTCCAACTTTTCTTTACACATTAAATTAGTTACTGAATAATAATAGTAATCATCCTCGGATTTAATACAGCGCCTTATGTCCTTGAGATGTCTCGAAGCATCTCAAAGTGGAGTCCTGTAGCGCAGTTGTCGCAATCGAGATGACTCGGGTTTGATTTCCGGGCTGGGCAACACTTTGGGCAAGTTTCTTTACTCCACATACCTGACTTTCTTTACTCTGTTTACCTGGCACTAAGTAACAACCCAGTTTTTAGTTGATTGGTGGATCGCTTTCCGGGGACAATAATCCCTCCCCCAGCTGTTTGTGGGACACTGCTGTGCACAATAGGCTGCCACTTTTCACTCACAAAATATAGTCAATTCACATTACAGTATATTCTGTGAGACGTCTCAATGATGTGATAATGTTTGATTGCAAGTATTATTACAAAATGCTCCACAAGATTTAAAACTGTAAAATGTAGTGACTGTACAATTGTAGGCGAACACAAATAGCCAATTTACTCAGCAATATTTAGGAAACTTTTCAAAAGGCAAAATACAGTTTTATTGCATTTTGTGCTATTGATCGGGTGCTTTTCTAAAAAAAATCAGGTGGGGGGGGGGTGGAGAGCAGGTTAACTTTATGGAACAACCACCCGAGTCCAATAATTCTCTTGAAATAATAAAGCAGCGAGTGGCATCAACCGAATGCCTGAAAACTATCTCTGTTCAAGGGGTGTTTTGAAACGCTGCACAAACGTATTTTGCCGGAGTTGAAACTCAGTTTAAAACGAGGGAAAAAGGAGGATCTTGTCCTCGCTCGCATCTTTTACATCCACACAGCTGAATTCAGAGCCACTGAGAATAGGGAGGCTTTACGTAGGAAACTGCTGCCCAACACGGGCCAAATTATGGGGAAAAGCAGCTTCACCCAAAAACACACGTCTTATGAAAGAAACTCAGGTTTCTGCCCCCACATCCAAGCATCTCTACCCTGTTCTTTTTATTTATATATTTTTTCTTCCACTATTCTGAGTTAACAATCCCCCAAATAAAATCAGTCATTCTCTCTATGTTTATGGGACATTGCTGTGTGGATATTGGTTGTCACATCACCCACAAATTACACTTTTACAATATTTCCTGTAAAGCGCATTCAATCTTATCGGTCTGATAAGGCGCTATTATTAAGGATTATTATTGTTACAGTATTACGTAGCTGGATTTCAGCAGTTGCTTATTTCACGGCTAAAATTGTTATAAAAAAACTTTTCAGGAATTAATGCCACAGAGGGGGGAAAAAAAAAAAAATCCCTTTCGGTTGTCAAACGTAACACATGACAAACACAGCTCAAGAGATTAACTGCTGGAAAAAACTGCTGACAAACACAAAGTGCTTCAACTGCAGCAGCTCACCCGCAAAATACAAACAAGTCACACCACTTCACAATAAAATCCTGTGAAGCTTGTCTCGCTGATGTGATCAGGACACTCTATCAAATGCAAGGATTATTATTATTATTGTAACAAGGGGGAGACTGCACATCTGTACAACTAACTCGTCAATAAACAATCTCATGTTAAACAGCAGCTTGCAAAATGCACGCAGCAGGGCACGGTGGTGGGGGAGGGGAAGTTGGAAGGAGCTTGCTGCTTATACAGTAACATGCAAATATTTTGCCAACTGCCAACACACCTTTATTTGGTCATTTCTAATGAAGGAAAGCCAAGAATCATTACCTAGAGCGAACCCTGTGTTCTGGAGGCGTGAGCTCCCCATCTACACAGCCGTTACTTCCCCCTTTTTATGTTTTTTTTTGCTGAGTGAGACTTCACTGAGATATGAAATCACTGGACATATGGCGGCCCGTTCAATTCTCCCAGAAGTTAGTGGCAGCTAAGTGCTGTCGGTCTGTCTGTCTGCTAGAGGGGGAGAGGCCAGGGGTGGAGTTAGTTACAGACCAGCACAATCATCTGACTGCTCAGCCCAGAATTTTGCATCGAGAGCGATGTATAATTAACCAGCCAAACTGCCTACACTGTTTACCTAGCAGTGAGTAAGAGCCCGATTGTTGGTGGATCGGCGGATCGCTTTTCCGGGAGTAATAATCCCTCCCCCCCAAAATAATAATAATAATAAATTGGTCACTTCAATCTACGACTGTTTGTGGGACACTGCTGTGCGCAATTGGCTGCCACGTTTCGCCCACAAAATATACAGTTAATTCACTTTACAGTATATTTTGTGAAGCACTTTGAGACGTCTCAAAGACGTGATAAGGCGCTTTATCAAATGCAAGGATTATTATTATTACACTATTCTCGCTGTGTCGGGCCCAGGCTTTGAAATGTTTGCAAAAGGACACTCGACTTTTGAACAGGTATGAAATTTGACAACGCAGAGAAGCAAAACTAACTATTGGGATTCCAGGGGGTAAAGATCGATTATATCATGTCATTAAGCAAATGACTCAGCCTTGTATGATCAGCCACCTTAATTTAAAGCAACAGCAACACAAACAGGGTCAGAATTAATCCTGAGGCTTAAATGCAATGTATCTGTAACACAGCCAGTTTAATGTTACTTATAGTTCATTCACACAGGGTGGATTAAAGCAGGCAGGATGTTGATCAGAGAGGGCTGAAACTACATCTAGTTTTAGCCTGCAAGCTCATTTTGCCTTAAAACTTTTTAAATTCAGTCTTAGTTTGAAAGCCATTTTCTTCAGTTCTTAAAAACAATACTAATCTATACAGAATAAAATCACAGAATGTTAAAGCACAGAAGGTGCCCATCGTGCTGGGCCGCGACTTTAAAAGAGCCATTCAATTAGACCTACTCTCCCCTTCTTTCCCCATAGCCCTGCAAAATTTCCCTTTTCAAATACGTATCCAATTCCCTTTTGATAGTGCTTTTCATATCGGGAGGGTGTCTCAAAACACCTCAGAGCATATTTTGGAGGTGAATGCGGCAGCCAATTTGCGTACAGCTATATCTCCACAAACAGTCATGAAGTGAATGACCAATTTTATCTGGGCAGAAATACACTCAGAATTTTGAAAAACTATTACATTCAAGCTTTAAAGTTTTTTTTAAACACTGCTCTTTTTAGGAACTACATAATTTTTGTCTTGCAGCTTGGGGGATTTTCCAAAATCTCGCACAATTGTTTTTAAAACAATAGTCTTTAAAAGTGAAATGAGATTTTGCCCACAAAAAACAGTCATGGCCCTTTACAGGATCTCCTGTGAAGCTCTTTGGGACATCCTACAGATGGGAAAGAAACAATATCAAATGCATGGATTGTGATTATTATTATTATTTTGGGCTTCGGGAGTGGGAAACACGATTTAGACCAGACCAACAAATTAAAACAAGTTACACAGCACTTTTGAAATCAGCTCAGAGTCAAACATGATTTACATGACCTGTGTTGACAGATTCCGAGACCACTTTCTGAAGGTGGTTTGGGGAACAGAATTCAGAAATGGATTCAATGCCTGAAATCAGGATTTATGGAGTTTTCCAAGCATTATTTAAAGAAACAAAAACTTTGCAGTGGAAATGGGGCATCCAAATAATCATAGACAATTCAAAGAATACAAAAAGTTAAACTAGGCTGGGATCTTTGTAAAGAAAATAAAGGATAAATCCTACCCTGGAATCCTTCAATACCAAAAAAAGCTACAGATTTGAACCCTGTTATAAAACAATGATTTGAGGTCCATAAAACCAGTCTCCGGGTTATAGTAATGGCCGGCGGCCAGCACATCTTGTCATCAGGTTGCTGCTGACATCATATCTGGTGGCAACTGCCTGTCTTCCTGCAAAGCCAGCTGTTCAGAGACCCCGCGCTCACCACTGTTTCCAGCTGTTGCCGCTGATACGGTGACATCTTTTGGAGCAGAAGCCAGTTAGCAGCAAAAGCCATTAACAAATGGGTGGTTATTAGGTGGAGGGGTGGCCCAAGTTAATAATAATAATAATCCTTGCATTTGATGTAGCACCTTTTACATCTGGAGGACGTCCCAAAGTACTTCACAGGACATAATAATAATAACCATTAAGTGGCTGAGGATGCATATACAGCTGCGCTCTAAATGAACCTGCGCTGCACTGCAGCATGTTATAATGGAGTCCGACT